AGGCCTGGCTCCATTCTGAGAAGGAGTGGGAAAGAGAGAGTGCTCTTCAGGTCTGCACTCAGCTGATGCAAGCTTATGCCGAGAGATTTGTGAGCACTGTGAGTATCGGCTCCCTCTTCCCAGAAGCCTGTGGAAGCTCTGTGGGGGCAGCTGGAGTCTCTCGGGGAAGAAACACGATGGCAGACTTGGTGAGCCAGGAGGCCCTGGAGGCCTTGCCTGCAGTTCTGCCCCAGCCTCAGTGCCCATCTGCCACAAACAGGGCATTCCTCCTCGATCCCTTCTGCTTGCCTGGCAGGGAGAGGTGCTTGGGGCTGTGTCTGGGTCGATAATCTCCCAGGAGGATAAAGCTGAGCTTCCATTGATCCAGATGGCCTCCTGCGCGTCAGGAGTCAGTACCAGAAGAAGAAGGTTGACGGGCCACTCACGTAGCCAGGCAACTTTCTTCTTCCTTTGATTGTTAGCAGGGAGAAAGCACTGTTGCCCAGTTTGGCTACCTGATTGGAGTGCTGGGGCCTCTCAGCTGTGACTCCCTGGCCACGTCCCGCCAGCGGGCACTCAACTGTATCAGCTGCCTGCTCTCTGCCCAAGGTGAGAAGAACAGGCCTCCCCCTCCTGCCTTCTGGTGGCTCTCCCCTCTCTTCCCTGTCTAGCAGCACAGGCAAGAGGTAGGGACGGGCTTTCCTTGCCGGAAGAGAAGAGTACTAGACAGCAGACTCTGCTAGTTTCTTGCATCCAAACCTTGGTCATTCTTTTCCTCTAGGCCACAGGACAAGGGAGGCCTGGGGGAAGTTCTTTGGGTAGCCCCTCCTCAGGGGCATTTCCAGTTCCTGTGGGGAACGAGGGCCCTTCTGCATTTGTGTCGAAGGGCAACGCTCTCAGGAATCAAGGAGCAGAAGCAGCACCCTCTGGCTCTACAGAGCAACGGTCCCCGATCAGAAATGGTTAGAAGGCAGTTATGCACGTGGGCTGCTGGGGTGAGCTGTGGTCAGCATCCCCTGTGCACACTGACCGATCTGTGGAGAGTTTCCTGCCTGTCAGAGGCTGGAGTGACCCGTGCTAGAACACGGGCGGGTGATGCCGAGAGCAGAGAGGCCTCCAGCTGAGGACAGCGGGTACGCTCCGGAAACTGCTGTTGGTCCCGGTTGGCAGAGACCAGAATCCGATGGCTGCACTCGTACAGTGCTGCTTCCAGAGTTCAGAAGGGTCCTGCAGCTCACCTGTGGACTTCACTGCCGCCAGCTGGGGATTCCTTGATCAATGTCTAGGGCCCGGAGGCTCAGTGCCAGAAAACGTGCTTAGCCTTTCCCCCTGGTGTTCCTTGCAGCCGAGGTTCTGCACGTGAAGAAAGATGAGATGAATCACTTCTGTGAGGAACTAAGTGCCACAGACGCGGATTCTCTGCTGAAGACATCTTCCAAAATCGCCAAGGTAACTGACTCAAAAGACAGGGCTGTGGCTACCTGGTGGCTAAGCTCCGCTCCCTTTTCTCTTCTTTACTTCCAAGCTTTCTCTCCACGTTCAGGCTGGCCTCTGGCAATGGGGCCCCTATTGTTAGCAAGTAGTAAGAGGCTTTTGAAGCAGAACCGTCTCTGGTGTTCCCACTGGGGAAGACAAGAGAGTTCACAAAGTTTCTGTGAATCTGTGTGTGTGTGTGTGTGTGTGTGTGTGTGTGTGTGTGTTTGCGCGTGTGTGCGTGTGTTTCTTTTTTTGTCTGTCCACACCAAAACATATTCTGTCTGAGGACAAAGAGATGCCAAAGTGACGCAGGGAAACTCCTCAGCCTGAGGGTTTTCTCTTTGTTTTAACATGCATTTCCTTGCAAGTCGTGTTAGGCGAGCCCCGTGTCTCAAGTGATGCCCTCTGTAGCATGCTCAGCATCTTCATGAGCTCCTCCATGCAGCTTCAGTGCATGCCTTCCGTGCCCTGTTGGAGCTATCTTAAGAACATAAGTTGCGTGTGCAGGCAAACGACCTAACGGAAGAGCCTTCCAAGTCTAGGAGCTACATAACTCAGAAGAAGCAGTTGTATGCACAGCTGGACCACAAAGCAACGGCAGCCTTCGCAGTTAGCTATCTGCCTAACTACGGAGCTGCTCAAGCTGCTCTTGTGCTTTCTTGGGAAGAGTGGAAGCAGACTTGCGATGTTGTTTCTCCTGGTTCTTGTTTCTCTCCAGGCTGCATGCCAGTACTTCCCCTTGGAGCAGGCAAGAGACTTTATGCAGGCTGTCTTGGGCAGCATGCTGTCCTTCAGCCCCACTTGTGCTATGGCAGCAAGGAAGTGGGTGACCGTCTTTCTGGAGCAACGTGGACGAGAAATCCTCCCAGAGGTAAAAGACCCTTGGTTCACCTCTGGGGTTGGGCCTTGGACGCGGGGCTGTTGCACTGCACCTCGCGTAGCAGATGTGGGCTGCAGAAAGGCATCTTGCAAGCAGAGCCAAGAATGCCTTGCTGAAGTTGTCTAGCTGAGTGTGCCTGCACGGCTGCCTTACTTGAGAGAGAAAGACGCTTTTGCCCATTGGTGATGCGTGTTTCTAGCGGTGGGGGCTCAGCTCTCACCCTGAACCTGTTCTTGCCTTGCTGCATCCAGGTGCCAGAAGTGCTGACAGTCCTTTATGACCACCTGCCAGCTTGCCAGCAGGACAGCCTAAAAGAGACTCTCCTGGATGCAGTGTCTGTCCTGGCCTCCTATCACCCAGAGGCAGTGACCAACAGCCTCCTGCAGAGACACCTGCCAATGGACAGGTCGGTGCCACTCCTCTCTGCCTTCCATTGCAGTAACGCAGAGATGCCACAGCCTGACCGTGCCAGAGGAGGCTCCACTTAAGGAGCAGGCTGTTGTTGTCCCGGAAAAGTGAGACTGTTGCAAGAGCACGTGCTTATAGGCTGGCAAAGAACCTGAGCTGCTAAAGCTCCAACACTGGACAGGGGGCGCATTTCACCTGTCTGTGGGGGGTTGTAGGTCCAAGAGCACAAGGGACCAAGCGTGAACTTCTGTTCAACTTCCAGTGGCACAGCGGAGTTGTGGAGGACCCTTGGCAGAAGCTTCCTTGCAAGTCAGGTGCTCCAGTTGCTAATGGACAGACTAGAGCGCGAAGAAACCACCCGCAGCAGAAGCAACTGCCCTGATGATGCAGTGGAGAGCAGCGAGGCTGCTCTGGAACCTCTCGCGGTAGGTAACCTGACCGGCACGCTTCTGTGCCCTCTTTGGCCGAGAATCCTGTGGAGTGAAAGCGAGGGGTAAGGCATCGTCCTGTTTGTTAGCCAGGCACTTGCAAATCCACATGGAGAAGCCTCCCAGTGTGCTTTGCTCGGTCCGTCTCATTTTTCTCACTGTGAGCAGCTGCAAGAGTTGTTGTTCCTGATCTTTGAGGCTGTGGCACAAGTCAGAGATGCAGACAGGGAATTCCTGGCAGGCAGGCAGGCGGGCGGGGCAAGTGGTGGGGAAAGCTCTTCTTTCCAGCCGGCTGCATGCAATGGCATTTCTTCTTAGGTGACGTGTGCCATCTCTGAGCTGGTGTCGGCCGTGCAGACCCCGGAAGCTGTGCCATTCGTGCTCCCACGGTTACTTCCGATGCTCATGAAGCAGATCAGTGACACCCTTGGAAAGGAGATGCCGTCATCCCCAGGAAGAGTGCAAGAGAAGCTGGTCCTGGTGGCCTGTGGAGAAGACAGCCGTCCTTGCAGGTGATGAGCAGAACGGGCAGAGGCGGAGGGGGCTGGCTTTAGCTTGTATCACCAGGTCGTGTTTGTTCTTGGCCTGGAGGGAACTTTTGGTGTGCCCTGCTTCCTCCCTGTGGAGACAGATTGCTGTGGTGGTTCTAACCTGTGGTGGTTCTCACCTCCGTTCTTCTTGTGGAGAAACAGAGACTGCTAGGTGTGAAGAGGGTCTCTAGTTGGCACCACTGACTTCTCTGGCCACAAAAGGTTTTCCAGTGCAGCTGGGGATGCCAGCTTTTTGGTGAACCCTGAGAGAGTTTGCTCATGGGAATGGCAGAGAACAAAGTACTGCTCGGTCTTGCATGACGGACTGCTCCTCTGCAGCTGGGCAGGGCCTCCTGTTCCCCTAGGACTGCTCTGCTCAAGGAACGGAGAAGTGGCGGTGCAACTACAGAATGGCCGTCCTTGCCCATTGCTATCCATTTCCCCAACTTGGGCGGGGCAGGGAGGAGGGGGCTCAGTGTGCCTCTTGTGCGTGGAATGGTGTGCTGATAATGCTGTGCACACAGACCAAGGGTCAGAGCAAAGAGATGCTGACTGCGGTCTGCAGGCAGTTCCCTCCAAGGGATGATTAGGAGAACCCTCAGGTTCTAGCATCAAAGCAGTGCCGGTCTCTGTTTTTCCCTATGTATGTGTTCCGTGAGCTTGGGGGCAGCCAAGGGGAGGACCACGCCACTTTCCTGTTAGCTTGGCACACTTGCGGATTATGAGGTGTGCTTTCAGGGGGGGAAGGATACTTTGCCTGTCATCCAGTGGGGCTTAGAACGAGGTAACGAGCACCTCAGGAAGTGGCTGAGCGTCTTTAGTTGTGATCACGACACAGTCTCAAGGGCTCTGCTTCCAACTGCTTGTTTCCACCAGGCTTTCCATCAGAGCGCTAGATGCTGTGCTCTGCAAGTGCATTGATGAAAGATGGATGGGGATTCTCCGGAGGCAGAGAACGTGGGCTTTCCTGGAAAACCCCCAGGCTTCCCAGGAGGGCACGTGTCTCCTGACTAGGTAAGAGCCTCATGAAGGTCTCCCTTCCCTCCTGGGGGGTGACTCTAAGCCAGTAAGAGGCTGACTGGGAACCTCTGCGGCGTGTCTGCCTGGGGAGGCTGTGCTGAGTTGCTGAGGAGGACTCTGTGCATCACAGCAGCTGACTGTTGGGAGTTCATGGGCTGTTGCCTCACTGTCTTCTTGTGCTGTGCGTGCAGTGTCCTGCTCCGAGCTGGCGTAATCACACGGGTTCTTGTAAACGCTGTCTTCCCGTGGCTGGAGTCTCCATCCGCAAACTTGAGGACCATGGCAACGGCCTTCTTTGCTGAGGTGAGGCAGAAGGCGGGGAAGGAAGGGCTGAGGGCGGCTGTCTTTGGGAACGGGCTGCCTGGGCCATGCCTTTCTCCAGGACCATCCCGGCAGAACGTGTCCCGTCAGTGCTGGAATCCTTGACTGTTGTTATTGGCACGCTGTGAGTGGTCCGGATGACTGTATTGGTGCGCTAATGGTCATGTTGCCCCTTTCTAGCTGATGAAGCACCCAGTGCTTGAGGAAAGGAAGCTGCTTCGGCCTGTCCTCTCTGCCTTGGTGGACAAAACCCTGGACGCCAGCAGCGCTGTCCGCCAGATGGCGGTGAGAGGCCTGGGAAACCTGGCCAGCGGAGCCCCAGAGGAGGTGAGAATGCGACTGCTGCTCACTAAAGGCCACCCCTAGCGAGAAAGGTCCTGGTAAAGAGCTGCACAAGGCTCAGCAAAGAAACTGGCCGGAGCAGCAGAAAGGGAAAGGCTGGTGTTTCTTGAGAGCGTGCTGCTCCGTCCTAGGCCATCACTCTGGCTGCAAAGGTATCTTGTGAGGCCGAGCGTGTAGGCTTGGGCTAAGGCGTGCTCTGGAATGGTTTCGAGCAGGTTCTGCTCTTGGGAGAAACGGTAAAGAAGAGATGCTAGAGGGATGAACGCTGAGAAGCTCTTGTATGTCTTCTGCTTTGACAGCTGAGGAAGCATCAGGAGGCCATTGTGGAGGTGCTACTGAGGGCCACCAAGGACGCCACCGCCCCGCAGATCATAGGGGAGAGCTTGTCAGCGCTGGCCAAAGTGGTGGCGGAGTTGAAAGAGAAGGGCCTTGGTGTCTCCTTCAGGGACATTGCCCTGTGTACAAAGACTTTCTTTGATGCTGTAAGTGCAGAGCAGTAGGTAACGCTTGTCGCAGCAGTCTTGGCAAGGTCGCCTGAAAGGCATGATGGGGGCAAGCAGACATGAGGACTGCTTGGGTTCAGGGAAGAAGGGTCATTCCCGGCAAAGGCTGAAGAGAAAGGATGAGACATGGGGTGAGGTCTCCTGATCCCCAGTGCCACACACAGGTAGTCAGAGGTCCTAGGCAGCAAGCTGATGGTTGGGGTTTCTTGGTTGCAGGATGAGGCAGTCCTTCGTTTCTCCGCCTTCGCCTTGTATGGAATGCTGGCCTCCTCCGCCAAGAGGAAACGGCGCTCTTTTCTCAGCCAAGAGCTCCAAACTACTTGGGTCAGAATTCTGCTCCACCTGCGCGACCCTGACCCTGGAGTTTACAATGTAAGAGCCACACTTCACTTCTTTCTCCATGAGGGGAGCGATGCGGGCGAGAGCAGAGCAGGTCTGCCCTTCCTGCTGCTCTCTACACAGCTGCACATTCTCTGGACGTGCCCTTGCTGTTGCAGTCTTTCCCCTCTCCTTTCTGGCAATTGCACTGAGTGCAACACCTCCTCTTCTGGAAAGACAGCAGTAGTGCTCAGCTCAGTGAGCTCCCTTGCAAGGCGTCTGGCTGTGCCTGGGGAGGGCTGAGCTGGAGCCACTCTCCTCTTCAGGCCTGTCGCAGCACTTTCCTGCTGTGCACTCCGTTGCTGGGCCTGCGGAAGGTCCAGACGCATGTTGCCCTGAACGCGGGGAAGAGTGCGGAAGAGCTCCAGGAAAGTGTCTGCAGTCACCTGGTAAGTAAGCTGTGGCCCAGGGTAAGAGTGACGGGCGGCCGTGGCTTTCCCTGGCCCAGAGAGCAGGAGCCTCGCGGGCCCTTCAGGGAGGTGATAGAGTGGGCCCTCGCATGACAATGATGGGAACTGTCAGGGCCTTGCGGCCTCCAGCTCTTTTCCTTATCTCCCGGTTCATCCACCCTCCTTGCCCAGGGTCACTGGAGGGGCCTTCTGAGCCAAAGAACTCCTGTGTCTCTGTTCTGCCCTAGGCCAGGAACGTCCCCGAGCTGCTGGAAAGCATCTATGACACCCTCAGGACCTACTTCTGGAGCTCGTGCTGGGGCATGCGGACTGCGGCCGTCAAACTAACTGGTGCGAGACAAAGCTGCGGGTCTCTTCTGCTCCTTCTCCAGGAGGCAGCAGAGAGGCCGGCCCGCCCCCTTGCTCTGCAAAGGGGGG